AAGTTCTAATATTTTAATTTACATCTAAGAGAAATTTATTTATACTCAGCCCCATTTTCCCACCATATAGCCTATAAAAACGACCCTAATTCTAAGTTTTCGAAGAGAACAGTCAGAAATGAGTAGATGCAACAACATACTAGCCTAAGCTAATAACATTAATTTGTGCCATTATTCATCCTTGTATCTATTTTAATCATCGTTTTCAAGCAATTCGAAGTCTCTTTTGTATTATGTTAAATGACCAACTCACCAAAAGTTAAAGCCGATAATGTTTGAAGTCGTGTATGATCAATTTACAGACTCTCTCACAAACAAATTAAGCAGACGTTGCTTACAGCCGTTTAAAAAGCGGTTTTTTGTATTAGCATGGTACTCCATACTACATAAGAATAAATTAGTTAAAAAACCACCACTTTTGTACCATCTTCACAATAAGTTTACAAATTGCAGCTAAATTGGTCAATATAGCTGCTTTCAATTCTGCTCAGGCGCCCAGCGGCCCCATGAGTACATTCGCATGTCTCTCTCATTAACCAAGATATTTTATCAATTGGCTCAAAATTTATCAGTTGTCAGAATAAGCACGTTTAAAGTGATTAATATATCCAAGTGAACATGTCAATACTCCGTCTGTCCCCTCCTTTTTTGCCTCATAACCAATATAGAGGATAATCTAGTATTTGGTGGTACATTTTTACTTTCTTAATGGTACAATGGTATATTTTGCGTACTATTATACATGTATAATGTATCATTATATTAGAGTATAAGTTATCTGAATAGTACTTTTTGTATACTGTTATTAATGTAGTAGTACTTTTTGCCATTATATTTTCTACCTTTAAATTCCATTATTTACAAAATATCATCATATTTGTATGGCTAACACATAGGGTGTATGCGTCACGAGTTTTCGGACGGTGAATATTACAAACAATATGGTGACAAAAAAGAGTGAGTCACACCAATTGTTATAATGGTACGTACTAGTAGTTGGAATTTACATAATAGAACTAACTACATGGGTTACAGTAATTAAATTAGTGACTCGTGGTGCATGCTAGTTGCATTATTGACAAAGTGTCACGTTGTGGTTCACTGGACGGAGATATGGAAACAAACCTTGTACGTGCTTTAGGCCAGTGAAATTGACAAAGTTTGTTCGAATCTAATTATAGAAATGAAAATTTGTCGGCAATCACTTTTAAATGAGATTTTTTGTTAGAAAACATGTTTCTCAGATAATATAAACTCCTGATTAGAGTGATTTCCATTGATCAATATTTATAGGTTTACAATGAGAAACCTAATCATATTAGGTAACATAAGATATGTATAGATATCAAAGATAATCTTATAACCCGGCTGCTCTATGTATTAGCACTAAAGACGTCGGTAGTCTCAAATCCGTCATATATCCTAAACCTAGAATGAGAATATTATATGGATATTCTCTATCACACCCCCGTAGTCAGAGCGGGAGAAAATCGGATGCTCATACTGGATCTGAATCACGCATCGAACGGTAAGGATAGTATAATAACTCATGATCAAAAGAGAAGTAGTAGACGTGTGCTGGTGATGACGATGAGAAGCAACAACCACGGCCTACGTATAATAGAGATATGCGCTTTTAGGCCCAAGGAGAAGAGTCACGCATATACTTGGGCCAAGTTGCAGATCCAGAGAAGAATAAGTTAAGGGATCAAACCATCATCGGGGAGAAGACACTACACTACTACGTGAAATCCCAGTTGAAGAAAAACAAATAAAATTGCGCAAGAAAAGATTAAATCCCACCGCTTGAAATTAATCAATTATCAAAAGAGAAACCAGGGAGCAATAAGTAATACTCCACAAAGATTCCAAGTGCTGCAACAATAAAAGGAGCTAACTTGATAGCAAAAGAGATGTGCAAAAGTTGACTTATTGTGATATACCACCACCAAAACAAAATCTATGTGATTATGTGTTAAAAAACCAATGAGGCAATGTAAGAATCATTGTTGGTCATGGGGAGATGGAAATAGAGTGCGGCACATGGAGTAGGTTGGCAGATGTGATTACTGCCAGTAGTGGGAGGCGGTAGTGTATGCGATTGCCACCAATGATGGAGGCGGCTTTCGCGGTTGCTACTATCGGTGGGAAGCGCAATGCTACATAAAGATTTAAAAAAAACTTTGAGAAAAGAAAAAAAAATCTATGTGTGTGTTTGCGGAAGCATAAAAAAATTTGTGTATATCCCGCCGGTGGGTTTATTTTTGTAACCCATCGGCAGGGTGAGAATTTTTGTATATGATCCCAAGATCTCACCTAAGCTGTGATACCATGTCAGATAATATAAACTCCTTGATTAGAGTGATTTCCATTGATCAATATTTATAGGGTTACAATGAGAAACCTAATCATATTAGGTAACATAAGATATGTATAGATATCAAAGATAATCTTATACAAAATATATCCTAAACCTAGAATGAGAATATTATATGGATATTAAAACTTGTAAAAAGAGACCTAGTTCATATTTTGTTTGATTCTGGCTTTTGGAGAATTTGTAGCCTTGATCTCGGTTTCATGGAGTACATGACATCTTTTTGACACTTGACATCTCGAGGATTGCTCTTGTTTATTTTTAAAGACTTGATTCTCACCACATTGAAGTACTAGCTCTGATTTTTTTTAGTTGCAACTTTGGGATATTATTTGAGAGATATAAATTACTCCAAAGTTGCAACTAAAAAAAATCGAAGCCAAGGAAAGATGTTTAATAATTGGCATGAACTTCAAAGTCAATTTTATTTTGTAAAGCAAATGTAATCTAACGTTTTTACTAGAAAGAAAATCATTGCTACCATATAGTATGAATTTGAACTATATGTATACAGGTTGTAGGAAGACTATTAATAACACTATTTTTTCCTCATCTTAAATGTTTAACACTTAAATATTCGAGGTCAATAATTATAAAATTAAATTCAACACAAGTTTGAATAGAAGTACTTTCGACCATTCCAATTATAGTGACAGTTTTATTTGGGTTGGGGGGAGCTTACTTTTCCAATAGCCCTGCAGTATTTATCTAGTGTATTATCTCATGGGACGTAAATCCACTTGGATTAGACTTAGTTGGATAGTGGACAAAGTTTTTTGATAGGAAATAAGGGTGTAATTGTATTTGATTAATGCAGAACAAGTCAATGAAAAATAATCAACGAGAAAAAAACAATAAAGAAGATAAACATAGAACACAAGGATTTACGTGGTAAGGTCAAATTAGACCTACATCAACGGGTAGGAGATTCGAGAGCTTCTTCACTATAATGGAGAAAAAACAAGAAAATAATACTAGGAATCCTAAATCTAATGGCTCAAAAGGTATGATCTAATTGATCAACTAATGAGTGTCTTTATAGCATAAAGAAACCCTAATTAAACCCTAAAATTATTCCTCAAGTATGCTCAAATAGCCTTTATAGCAAGGAAAATTTTTCATAAATAAGTCAACCTTTATATGGTTAGCTCAAAATAAGCAAACCTTTCGATTAACTCAAAATAAGTCGACCTTTATAACATATATTTTCTCAAAATGAGTCAAAACTTGTTAGATTAAAATTAACCGGTAGTTAAGGTAAAACATGTCACGTGTCATTGTGTGATTGGTCCTTTTGTTAAAAGAATAATTAAGATTAATTATTTAGTTATTAACAATTAATTCAATTAATAATTAAATTAAAAAATAAAATAAACAAATAAACTAAAAAATACCCAGCCACCCTCCACCACTGGCCACTGCCAGCCCCTCCCCTTGCTAGAGACCGGCGGCCAGCTTCCTTCACCGGCGCCGGCGACCCCAGCCCACCTTGTCCCCCACCAACGTGACACCTAGCCCATCCCTTTCTCATTCCTGCTCCCCCCTTTCCCCTTTTGGAAATACGAAACTCAAACCCGTTTAGGGTGGTTTCACAAGGGTCCTTTTGGAAACACGAAACCCAAAGCCGTTTAGGGTGGTTTTGCAAGGAATGGGTTTAGGGTTTTGATTACGCGTTTCCAGGAGGGTCAATTCATGGTGGGGACGAGGGAGGAGGGGACATTTTTCAATAGGAGATTGGGGGGGAAATGGGAATGGGGAAAGGGGAAGGTGAGGTTGGGGTTGGGGCTGGGGAAGCTGAATGAGGAAAAGGGGAAGAGAGTGGTGGGGGGATCGCTGGCGCCGGAGGATGGAGGTGGTCTCGGTGTAGCCGGCCTTCGGCCGCCGGCTGTTGGCAGAGCGGGAAGCTGGCAGTGGTGGAGGGAGGGGATTTAGCTATTTTTTTTTTAACTTTAAATCTTTAATAATTTGTTTATCAAATATATTTATAGTTAAACAAAATAAATTTATTAAATTATTTGTAATTATAAAAAATAATATGTTTGGTAGGTTGTAGGTCATTTGACCTAATAAAAGAAAATACTCTTAAAATTCGACTTATTTTGAGTTAATCAAAAGGTTGACTTATTTTGAGTTAACAAAGCAAATGTTGACTTATTCTTGAAAAATTTTCCTTATAAAAAAGATTAAAGTTTAGGATATATTACATAAAACACGTAAGCTTAAAACAGACCCAAAAAATTGCCCACGTCATTAGCATCGTTCCAGCTTTGTCAGGTCTTCATAAAATGACCATAACTTTCTCATTTATTATCATAATTGGGAATATGACCTATCGTTGGAAATCTCTTGAACTAAGCTATCACCTCCAACTTGAATCACCTCAAAACCACTTATATTTTGCGAGATATCTGAATTCAAAGTCGACCCTATCAGATTTTGAGTCACAATTTAACACTTTCTCAATCTCTCATCCAACCCTTAGATTATTGAAATCAAGTGCCCAATTCTAAAAATGAAAAGCCATGAAATATTTTTATATATCTTTTCAAAATGAAATAATGTTGACTCAAATTTTGTACCTTTGAAAAATCTTTTATAAATCAAGTACAAGTCATTTTGAAACACCAAATCAAAATGTCTTTCAACCTTCTTCCTTTTGTTCCCTTCATACTCTTCTCAATCTTTCTATACAAATGGCATCTATCAACCAAGCGCAGCACAATGCTTCACTTACCACCCAGCCCACCAAAGCTTCCTATCATAGGAAACCTCCATCAACTCGGTAAATTCCCTCAACGCTCCCTACGATCCCTTTCTCAAAAGTACGGCGATCTCATGTTGCTCTACTTAGGCAACAGACCGACCCTTGTTGTGTCCTCCGCAAATGCAGCCTAGGAAATCATGAAGACACACGACCTCGTGTTTGCCAACCGGCCTAACTTAAGATTCATCAACAAAATCTTCTACGGCGGTAATGACGTAGCTTTTAGTTCATACGGTGAAAAATGGCGGTACATGAAGAGCATCTGTGTGACGCAGCTACTGTCCAGGAGAATGGTGCAATCTTTTAGACCTATAAGAGAAGAAGAAGTTGCTCGAGTAATCGAAGAAATCAAGAGCTATGATAGATCAATTCTAAACTTGTCCGGAATTCTATTGGCGCTATTCAAAGGGATTATAAATAGGACGGCCTTAGGACGGACGTGCACCGGTGTTGACGAAAACGGTATCGGCTTTTATAAGCTTATAAAGGATCTTTTGAAGGTGATGGGGAAGGTGAGTGTGGGAGATTACGTTCCTACTTTAAGATGGGTTGATAGATTGAGTGGTTTGGAAAGGCAAGTCGAAAATATGCGGAAACAATTTGATGATTTTATTGAGACTATAATTCAAGAGCATGAGATTCGGTTGAATTCAGATCAAGTGTACACTGATGAAGGCGATGAACATCGTATCAAAGACTTTGTAGACGTTTTGCTCAAAGTTCAGAGCGAAAACCCAGAATGGCTTTCAAGAGATAACATCAAGGCCATTATACTGGTAAGCCATTCCCGGTTCTCACCTGATTACCATTGAAAATTCTATAGCAGTCGTTTGAAATATGACTACGATAATGTTTTCTTGATTATATGGTTCATAATTGACATATTTTTCTCCAAATAATAAATCATATTACCTAAGTTATGATATAAAATAATATTATCTATATTTTATTTTATATTTATTTAGTTCCATTTTTGTAATTTTTATAATTATTTTTATAGTTTCCCGATAAATAATTATTTTATGTTGAATTAAACTTTTCAAATAATTTATTTGCATTGTAGATAACAGGAGACTAATTATCTCTATTTTATAATGTGAAAAAATAAACCGATTATATTGTTTATCATTAAAATAATCTGCTAGTCATATTTTAACCGACAACTATAGAACTATATCTACCCACACAGAAAGTATAAAGCTAGTATGCTGTTTAGTTTAATGTAATTATTTAAGCACTTTATACTTATTTCAGATACTATTAGAAAAAATAAATTCTCATCATAATTAATCATTTTAAGTGAATTTTTTTTGGAAATTTTGACTTTTACCACCTTCAAAAAACCACTTAATTGAATTTACCATCTACATAAACTAAAGTTTTACTTTGCCACCACATCAAAAAAATAAACTTAGATTTTACCACCTAATCCTAACTTCGGTAGCAGAAAATGATTGTGGGGTCCACAATAACGGCTACTTTTTGAAATTTTCCCCAATCTCTCTCGGTTTCCTTTTCTATTTAAACCCACCTTCTTCATTTCTACAAAATCATGGTGTAATTGAGGTTGTTTTATGCGATTTTGTTCCCAAATCCTTAAATTTGCTGACCCCTACAAATCCTACATCAAATTCGTCTAGATTTGTGGTCCTTGAATAATCAAGTCAGCAGTTCTACAAGAAATAGGAAGAAGGTACCCAAGTTCCATGATGTATTGTGTAATTTTTTGCATTTGTTGTCGTGAATATGTTTTAATTGTTAAGTGTAATTGAAATTGCACATATGACTTATTAATTGAACCTTAATTTCAGCGGAAAAAATTAGGGTTCATGGTAGTGAAAATTAAATTGGTATTTTTTGAAAATGCAATTGGATAGTAAAATTAGGCTTAGATTATGCTAATTGTGTTAAAATAAAACTAATTTCAATGTTGTTGTTAATGAATTTCAGAAGGAAATGTCTTCTATAAGTATATCACCTTTAAAGAAGAAAACATGCCAATGTGGAGTTCCAATGGCAAGGTTGTAGTAGATTTAGGGTTTTACTTTTATAGAGAGAAAGATGAAATTTAGAGGAGAGAGAAGAAATTTAATGGGAAGAAGGTGAGAAAATGATAGAAATTTAATAGAGAAGGTGAGAAAAGGTAGAGAGAGAGAGAGAGAGAGAGAGAGGGGGGGGGGGGAAATCGGGGTTGGAACATTAAATTTGGAGGGAAATAAAAGACAGTGGTCCCCACAGTCATTTTCCGTCACCAGAGTTAGGATTAGGTGGTAAAATCAAAGTTTATTTTTTTTTATGTGGTGGTAAAGTAAAACTTTATTTTATGTAGGTGGTAAATTCAATTAAGTGGTTTTTTGAAGGTGGTAAAAGTGAAAATTTTCGAATTTTTTTTATGTGATGATAATTTTTTATTTTTTTTTTGAAAATTTGATGATCATATTAACTCCACATAAAGTTTGATTGAATCTTTAAATAAATAAATAATTAAAAGTAATTTATTTAGATTTGTTTCAACTTGTATTTTCAAATATTAAAATTTATTTACTCGTACAAATTAATGAAGATATTAATGTAAAAAGGAAAAATTTGAAATAATAATCCCAACTTTCATCAATTTTGGTAGAATAATCCCAACTTTGAATTATTCTAGAATAATCCGAAATTTAGGGGTTCCTCTTTTTCTTCAATCTCAATTACCAGTTACCTGTTATAAAGGTTATTTTTTTTTTTAAATGTCACGTGTCAAGAGCTAATTAGCTAAAATAATAATAAAAATAAACCAAAAAAAATAAAAAATAAATAAGAAAACCAACCACGGCCCATAGCCCACCGAAACCCTAGCCACCACCATCCCAAAGTTTGGATCGGATTATTCTAGCATAATCGAAAGTTGGGATTATTCTACCAAAATTGATGAAAGTTGAGATTATTATTTCTAATTTTTTCCATCACTACTACAAAAAGTGTGTTTTTTGGACACTTTTAAGGCATATTTTTGACACTAAAAAGCGTCGAAAAATTATTTCTCGACGCTGCAAAAAAGCGTCGCAAATCCATGAGTCGAAAATTTTTCAGCGACACAAAAAAGCGTCGAGAATCTCGACGCTTTTTAATGTCCAAACTAGTATACGAAGCGTCGAAAATTACGTATTTCGCGCATTATCCCAAATGTATGTAGATTTTTAGCGACGCTTTTTCCTGTCCACATAATCAAATTTAGCGACGCTTTTCGTTGTCTTGAGTTTATTCGTGTCAGCCTATGGTATGGCGGGAAAGTCTTTGAAATATGAAAATATGCAATTATGTAGACATTAAAAAGCGTCTAGATTTATTTTCTAAAGCTTTTTTTTTCTTTTATCAATTTATCATCATACATACATTATAATTATTAAAATTTATCATAAATTAAATTAATTAATAACATTAAAATAAAAATAAACAAAAATTATATATAACTAGATTAAAAAAAACAATAATTAATCGACAATAAAAATAGTAAGTCGTAGTTAATTACCAAATTTAGAAAAGAAAACATCAAGACAGTACAATCATTAAAAAAAAAAATGGTCGCATATTAAATAGTATGTAGCTTGTCCCTAAATAAATACATCACTAATATAAGACTAAAAACCAAAATAGATAGATGATGGCCACATTGATCGATATAGTCGCTTGTTGATGCTCAAGTGTCCCGACCTATTCTTTTGTTGCACCTACATTGCCTTTTCCAATCTTCAAAAAAAAAAAAATACAAAGTATAAATTAGTCTAAATCATTTTTTACCAGAGCAACCACCATTACACATATGAATAACACATTATATGGCAGGAAACTTTTTCATACATACATGTCATCATATGGCAGGAAACTTGATTCATATGGCAGGGCCTTGATTCAACTATGCCAGGAAACTTGATTCAAGCAATAAAATTGAGTATGATTTATACAAATCATTGCAAGTATAAAATAAAATCATATGGCAGGGCCTTCAGGCCAGATTTTGGCTAACCATAATCAGATTAGATGGTCATCAGTCATCTCAATTAAACATGGTAACAAGTAGTATTCAAAGTGAAGGGAATATCCAATGACAAAAACTGAGTTTTCACCCCACCATTACTAATATCATTATTTTTCCTAATCTTATGATTGTAAATCCTCAAATATGCATTGTAATTTTTATTGTTCCTATCTAACAATAAAAACAGCTACTATAGCTTGAAGCCTTGAAGAGCACATCATTTTTTATTTTTTAATCGTATTCACATACTCTACTGGCTACGCCTTTTCATATAGCACAAATCTCCATGTTCGAGGGGTTGTTTTCATTATGTTTGCATGAAGTGAAAGAAATAAAGAGATTGAAACATCCATTCCCTTAATCCCCTATCTCCCAAACGATTCTAACCCTTCATGCAGAAATATCCAATTACCATAGGAAATGCAAAGGATCCCGCCTCAAAGCAAAGTAAGCAGTAGCATATTAGATTATATTAGGGGAGCAGGGGAGCAGGGCAGACAAGTAGTATAAAAGCAGCAGGGGAGCAGGACAAGCAGTAGCAGGGGAGCAGGGCACACACACACACACACATCACAAGCAAGCATTCACACAAGCTCTAAATGTTACCTGATGTTTTGCCTTTCCTAAGAATTCAGATGCTTTGTCTAGAAGACCCGGAGATGCATTCCCTTGACGAACTGCACCTACAATCTGAGAAAATTGTCCAATAAGCGCTTTAAGAAGAACATTGTTGTGTCCGACCTCGTCTTTCAGCTTTTCATTTTCTTGAGATAGCGTATCATTTTTCTTGTGCAAAGCATTCACTTCTTCTTTAACACTATCCATCACAATAGTCCTCTTTTGAACTTTTCCATAGCCTTCCTTCCTTAACACACCACGTACTCCGAATATGTCCCCCTTTTTAACCCCTAGTCTGTAACCCACCGGACGATCGGGAATCTCATTGCCATACATAGTTTGCTGAAATGCTTCATCTTCGAGCTCTTGTTCAGACATCTTAGGGTGCACCATCCTCAACTCTTCAACCTTAGCTTTAACATCATCCTATACCAACATTTAGGAGTAATGTAACACCACAAATAACACATAATCACACCACAAAATCTACACAAAATGATACCAGAAATCTGTCACAAAACCATACCACAAAATCTTGAGTGACTGTGTCAGAAAGAAATTTTCCGTCTTTACCCGCATGGGTTTTAATCCACAGCGCTAACAAGCTCATTTTTTCTCCATGTTCATCCTCCTATAAATAATAAGGCAAAACAAGCATTAAATATGTGTACAATAGTATATAACGCATATAACTTGGCTTTGCTCTTACTAATGTCCTAAGTAAATATAAAATGACATATATATTCATACATAATCAGCTTGTTGGTTTGCAAAACTTTTAGAGCCAGATGTATAAATCTGATTTTGACAAGCTCGTGCCTTTTTACCGCATGCTGACATAGTCTGCAATCACATTTTCAGATTTTTTTGTTAGAGATTAAATAACGTTTGATAGAATAAACAATAAGGTAAATATTGTCCTTACTTTCCCGTAATCTGAATCCCAATATTTTACCAACTTAACCCAGTTACTACTGGTAATTCCATGTGGCACATTATTACACATATCATCCAATTTCTTCTCTAGTGGCTTGTAATGAATCATTTTCAGAAAATATTTGAACTGCCTCCAACATTTATCGGCACGCTTGAGAGCTTGGTTGTCGTATTCCACACCAGGAGGAATCACAAAACGGTCCTTCAGTAAAAATAATTAGTTAAAAATGTAAATCAGTAAGTAATCTATTACAAGTAAGAGACCGTCTAAGTATGTGTCTTAGGGATGAATATACTTACTCTTATGTCTTTAATTATTTTCCCTTTAAAATGCTTGTCGATTGCTTTCCAATCTTTTCCCCAACTGGACAATGTGACTCCATCTTCGCAATCATACTAATGAATTTAACCAAAATATGTCCACCCTTCCTAATTGGCTGGCATAAATCATTGAATTCGACATAGTACTGGACGCCGTTATTACTCCATACGTCAATTGGCAGAATAATACCACTTACTAATGTAGTATTACCCTTGGCATCTAAATAAAATAACAAAATTAAGTTAAAAGAAATTAAACAAAGGTGATATTTTTATTTTCTTGTTTTGGGGGGATGCATGTTAATTGTCATGTGGGTAGAGCAGAATATGTCACTGAATATCATGTTCTCACACAGTTATAGAATAAGCACTGATTTCTCCCCTTATCACATGAAAAATGGAATAGCAACATACTAGACTTCTAGTATAAATTTATACAAGAAATTAAAAACCATATGTTACCGAGTATTCTAGGTGCTACACTAGTTTAGTTCCCGTGCATTGCCCGGATTAAGTAGCTATTATTTGTTTAAATAATTGTCCAATTTTATATTCAAAAAAAGTGTAATCATAATCTCATTAATTAATTATGCAGCTCAATACAAGTTTCAAGATATAAACAATTCCATATATCCAAATTTAGAACAAGTTTGACAATGATATTTAAAATACATATGCATGTGTAACACGTATAACACAAGCTAGCCTCCACCCCCTCCCCCCACAATAACAAGCAGCAGCAACATGGCAGGATCACACCACAACAACAACAAGCATCAGCATGACAACTATGGCAGAAAACATTTACCTATGGTTAGAACCTCCTCCTTGTCGTCAAAATCAATGTCTTTAGGCCAATCCGGAAGTGCTTTTGGTCGTAAGGACTTAGATTGTTTCGGGATCTCTTCTGATTCGTTTCCATTTTTTTGTCTTTCATGATTATCCTGTGGAGCTGTAGCTGAAGTTTTCACAGCACCTGTTTCACGGTTCCGGATTCCTCGTGTAGCAGGTTTTGGGCGCTCGGGAGGTTTGTGAGAAGTAGAAGGGGAGTTCAATGAGTCTGGTGCAATTGAATGTGGAATATTAGGTGGGACTTTTGCTGGGAATTTATTCTGATAACCTGATGTAGCTGCCTCTTTGACTGAACTTGATGTTGAACCAGGAGGATTTTTCCTAATGGATCCTAAACTATTAGGTGGTTGTTGGTCAGATGTTGTAGTGGTAATAGGTGGAGAAAAAGGTCCCCATATGTCATCCTTAAGTACCTCATTCTGTGGTGACTTAGTAGCATGTTTTTTGGTAGGTTGTAAAATAACTTCAGTAGCATTTGACTTAGCTGTGGCAGCAAGTATTTCCCTTGCTCTCTTGCTTCGATAAGTCATCTTTACCTGATAAAACCATAAGACAAGCTACATTAGTTTGTCAATATCACAATAAACTATATAGTTCTAAACTATAATCACAATATCACAATTACAGTGAGTTCATTACAAACAGCAACAGCACTTAGTTCAATTACATTTCTGAACTGATGTAATCACAATATCAGTGGGAAGTAAAGACACTATGTATAGAAAAAACTGATATAAAGACAAGACAATATATGTACAGCTAAACTAAACATCTAAAATGAAATACAAAATAAGAACAACAATAATCAATGCATCAGAGTTGAAATTCCAAAGATGAATTCCAGAACTGATTATTCCAGAAATGAATCATACCAGAAATTCAGTTCAAACAATATATTCTGTAATGAACCAGCCATCTGTGGTCCTCACGTATGACAGATAGAAGAAGAAAACAGGCACCAAGGCACTAATACAGCAGCAGGTCGTGAGAATTGGGCAAGGGAATGAGTGAGAGCACATAGGAAGACAAAATGCAACAATTCTGAAATTACTTAATACAATTGTCCACGGCCTTACATGTAGTGTCGTAGATAGTGAACAAAAAAAGGTAAGTTGAAGCATGAAGCTATTCAAATCCAACTGACTCACACACATCCATTTTGGTAATCTATCTTTGCTAGACAACACTAGGAGTCTACTAGGACTGCATATATAGACTAATTTTAAAATGTATAAAATTGAGACTTTCAAGATGATGTACAATTGCATTTTCACTGTCAATTACTCAATCATAACAAAATCAGACAAGATTATGAATATATCGATGTTTGATGAAATGAAAATCAGGCACAAAGGTATATGCAATTATTTCTTACAGCGTAGAAAGGCTTGAAAGAGATTCAGAACTCTGAGGCAAGCTGCCAGATAGTTTGTTGAATGAAAGATCCCTGCATCAGTCAGCAATTTGAGCAATGATCACCAGAGTGACAGAATTAAGAAAAAACAGGCAGCATCCATCTGATTTATAAGAGCATATAGTCTTCATATATAACAAGAGTTCTAGGCTCAACAATATGACTTGATTCATCAGCAGCAGGCCGTGAGTATTGGGGTTGTTGCCTAATGATTTATAAGGGAATGAGTATTGCTTCTAAGAGAGTAAGAGCAGAGCATGTGAAGACCCATAAAATTCATATCAGAGCAGAGAATGTAATCATCAGCCACCAAATCACCATAGAAAAACCAGAAAATTTATATCAAAAACCCATAAAATTCATATCAAAAACCCATAAAATTCAAAGCCTATAAAATTCATATCAAAAACCCATAAAATTCAAAGCCTATGAAATTCATATCAAACCAAAAAATTCAAAGCCTATAATATTCATAGTCGAAAATCCCCAAACTAAAACCCTAGAAAAAGCCATCAAATTCATCACAAAAACCCATAAACAACTTTTTACAAAAAAAAATACAACAGCAACAACAAGGAAATCTGAAATTTGAATACAAAATTCACGAAAAAAAGAACAAAAAAAGAATTTAAATTATCTAATGGGCAAAAAATTACCTTGCAGTAAGACCGATTCTTGTTCTACTCCAATTGTAAATCGAACACATGCAAAGAATTATTTCCAAATTAAACAAAATTTAACGAATTGTGAACAATTAGGGTACCAAAAATTGTGAAGCAAATTGTGGATAATTACCTGAAATTTTTGAAAGTGAAAAGCAAAATCCCCTAAATTCGTTGAAGATTAGCAAGAACCCAGAATTTAACACAAAAAAACGATGAATGTTGTAGCTTTGATTATGAGCAGAGACGCAGAGTGCAGTGTAGAGAGCAATGTTTATCAGTCGTGGGTGGTTTAATTGGGTTTGGAGTATTTCCTTTTTTTAGTTAGTTATTTTTTTGAGTAAATAATTGGGAGTGATACAAACCCGCTTTTTTTCACAAAATTTTAAAATTGCGGGCAGTAGGGTGTGAGGGAGTCACGTGTTAGACTCGTGATTTTCTCGACGCTGACACCAAAAAGCGTCGAGAAAAAGCGGAACTAAAAATTGTACGCTGACACCACATCCAAAGCGTCGAAGCAAAAGCGTCTAAAATATGCGTGTTTTGTAGTAGTGCATGTAAAAAATGTGTTGTGAAACTGTGAAAACAAGTGGGTTAAACATAGAATACTTTTTGAATAGAGCTAATATAACCTTTTGTAAATTCATCGTGTCATTATTATAAATTGCACCACGCATAAATTATATTTTGTTCAGGACATGTTTGTTGCTGGGACGGAAACATCTAGCACGACACCGGAGTGGGCAATGACAGAATTAATAAGGCATCCTAAAATTATGAAAAAACTACAAAAGGAATTAAGGGAAAATGTCAAAACAAATACAAGAAGATTAAACGAGGATGATTTGGAGAATATGACGTATCTTAAGGCAGTGATCAAGGAAACACTTGGACTACATCCACCTGCTTCTTTGCTCTTATTTCATGAATCCTCCAAAGATGTCAAAATCAGAAACTACGACATTAATGCAAGAACTCAAGTTATAATAAACGCATGGGCAATCCAACTCGACCCTCAATTTTGGCAAGACCCTTTTGAGTTCCAACCCGAAAGATTTATGGACGACGCCTCATCTATTGATTTGAGGGGCAAACATTTTCAATTCATTCCGTTGGGAGCCGGGAGAAGAGGTTGCCCGGGAGCATCCTATGGCATGGCTAGCGCCGAAATTGTATTAGCTAGCCTTGTTTATGAGTTTAATTGGGCGTTACCAAATGGAAGACAAGGAGAAAAATTAGATGTTGCAGAAAGTCCAGGTGCTGGTGTTGGACGACTAAATCCTTTGAAGGTCATCGCGACTCCAACTAATATTTACAAGTGAACGAATTCTCTATTTAGCTTAACACTTAATATATTATTTGTGTAGATCGTGAATAAGTGAGGAAAATTTCAATTTCATTAATCTATGTCATGTTTATGAATTTATGCGCTATAGGTGTACGAATTACTTAGCTAGCAAATACTTTAAGCTTTATGGAGAGCATGCTATATTATCCAAATATTGGACATGGAAGGATCAATGCATATATCCTATAAATGATTTGATTTGACAAACTCGATCATATGAATATCAATATCAATCAACATATATATATATATATATGTATATGGAAGGGATCCGGTGAGAATAGGATCATATGTGAGAATTCATACTTATATGAGAACTGATTTTAAATTTAGAACATGTGAGTAAAAGTTTAGAACATACGAGTAAAAATTTAGAACATGCGTCTGAAATTAAAATTTAGAACATCTGAGTAATAATTTAGAACATCTAAGTGAGTAATATGTTTAAAACATTTGATTTAAGAATTAGAACAAGTGATTAAAAATTTATAAAAGCTGCTTTATGAAATTTTAAACATATGAGTAAAATTTAGAACATTTGATTTAAGATTATGAACATGTGAATAAAAATTTAGAACAAACAAATATAGAATATAGAAAGTGTGAGTAAAAAATTTAGAACACATGAGTAAAAATATAGAACATACGCTTTAAAATCTGGAACATATAATTAAAAATTTTAGAACACACATTTTAAAATTTAGAACATATAAGTTAAAATTTTGTAACAAGTTATTTAAAATTTATGATATTAAACTTAACTAATTTATGGTTTAGAACATGTGAATACTAAATTAGAACATTTGATTTAATTTAGAACACCTAAGGAAAAGTTTAGAACATCATATTTAAAATTTAGAACATACAAGTAAAAATTTAGAACATAAAGAGTGTTCTCACATAAAAAAATTCTCACATAAGAAAAATTCTCACGAGAGCCTCCATATATATATATATATATATATATATATATATATATATATATATATATATATATATATATATATATATATAATCCATGGCAAGATGTTATTTCGGATGATATACTACAAGAGGGGGGGTGAATTGTAGTATGATCCTAGTGTCTACTTTTCGCGGAATATAAAACTGATTGATGCTAGGAACTTAGACAGTGCAAAACGAATTTTATGAGGTAATCATCCAGGGCCCAACTGGAAATAAAACCTCAACCCTTCAAGGGATTTCAACACAACCATTTCACTATAATAGGGCAAAACACCTAGTTACATCCTATTATATATACATGGACCTTTCTCACAAGTTCCACCAAGGACACTTGCTACTCGATAGGACTTTATCCTACCCAACCTAAGCCCCACACTTAGATTCACTCGTACTCCCTAAGTACTACTCACTCGGCCTCTCACTAGAAGCTCACACTTTGCAATATCTCAATTACAATAACGAGAATCCTCACGAACTCTCACACCCAATACATAAAACACTCAAAACCCTTTTTCCCTTTTAAAAGATCTCAAAATAATAACTCTATATACATATCAATGAAAGATAAAACTAATATGCTGAACACTTAAGATCTGTCTAGAACTTACTGGACGAACTAAAAACAAACTTGACTAGAACTTTGACCGGGAGGTTTGACTTAGCTTCGTGGTGAAGGATGAAACCATTAAGCACGACCACTAAGCTTCGTCAGCCTCAACTTTGAAAGAATACATATGAGCATATTTATAGTACACCCAAATCATTCTTTTCATAAAAAGATATGTTTTATAAAAAGATATGTTTAAAAGATATTTTCCAAAAATATATCTTTTTGTTAAGAATATATTCTGTCAATAATAATAAGATATATTTGCTATAAAATCAGATTTTATTTAAAACTTATACTTTCCAAATATACGAGCTTATCTTTTTCAAAAGATATTCTTATCATAAAATCAGATTTTATTCCAAACTTATATTTTCCAAATATACTAGCTTATTTTTTTCAAAGATATACTTATCATAAAATCAGATTTTAAACTTAAATTTTTCCAAATATACTAGTTTATATTTTTCCAATATTTACTTATAATAAAATTATATTTTATTCTAAACTTATTTTTGCTTAAAATACTTTCCAAAAATAACTTATCTTTTTCCAAAAAGGATTTATTAGAAAATAAATATCTTTATTCTGTAAAATCAGATCCCTAAAAGATATGCACGTATTAGGTTAATATATACATCATTAAAACCGACTTTTAACAACGTGCAGACTTAAGTTCCGACAATTAGGTTTTGAAACTCTGACAGTCTCTGAGTTCTTGACAAGTCAGTAACTCTAATTTCATTGACTATCATGAGTTCACCTTGGTTCTTTAATTAGACTTGTTCCAGACTAACTTTTATGTCCAACATACTTACATGAATCCTAGAGCGATATACTTCGATTTCTTCGTCTTCATGTTGTTTCTTTGAAACTCTTGATCTGGAATCTTGTAGTATTGATGTATTCTAGATATCGGGGCAACGTTCCACTTTTGGAACCGCAGGCCAAGTTCCTAACTGGAACTTGCTGTCACTCTTTATCATTTCTTATTAGAACTCGCAGACTAGGTTCCTTTCTGGAACTTGCTGTCATCTTCTTAATCTAAGCTTCACTCTTTTAGCATTCTGTCATGCTCCTGTTAGGAAGCTCCTTGTGTGTAGCTATTAGGGAACACCTCATGTACCTATTAGAGAACATGCTCCGGCTTTCATGGGAAAG